GGGTTCTGAGATCTCTGTGGGGTTCAGGGGCTGGGGCCTGCCCCCCCCCACGTCCCCGGGGCAGGGGCTGGCTGGCGCGGTGTTGGGGGGGTTCTGAGATCTCTGTGGGGTTCAGGGGCTGGGGCCTGCCCCCCCCCACGTCCCCGGGGCAGGGGCTGGCGGGCGCGGTGTTGGGGGGGGTTCTGAGATCTCTGTGGGGTTCAGGGGCTGGGGCCTGCCCCCCCTCACGTCCCCGGGGCAGGGGCTGGCTGGCGCGGTGTTGGGGGGGGTTCTGAGATCTCTGTGGGGTTCAGGGGGTGGGGATGGTTTGGGGGGATCAAGGGGGGGCGCTCTCCCAGTCCCTCCCCCTCTCCCCCGCAGGGCGCCTCTGAGGCGCGGGACCAGCTGCAGAGCCACCAGAGGGAGCACGCGGACGCCCTTCACGCTCTCCAGGACCAGGTGAGGCCCCCAGCTGACCCCTGGGGTGGAGGCAGTGGAGCCCGGACTCCTGGGTTCTCTGGGTGGGGGCCGGGATCCGGTCCCCCCAGGGCCATGTGGAGGATAGCAGCCGTTCTCCCCTGCCCCCCATTTCTCTAACCCCCGGGGTGGGCGTGGGGCCCAGCTCTGGTCTCTGGGCTTCGCCCCACTGGTTCACCCCGCAAGCTCCAGCCCCTTCCCGTGGGCCCCGCCGGCGCCCGCGTCTGCATTTCATGAACCCCCTTTTCTCGTCCGCCGGCCTCGGCCCTTCCTTTCCCCCGGGGGGGGTCGCACGTTCCGGCCTCCCCAGGCGGGTTTCTAACCTGGCTGCGTCTTGCTGAGTTCCTGCCACTTGGCGCTTTGCGTTTCGTGTCCTGTTTGGCTCGGCTCGATGTTCCCTCGCTGCTCAGCTGCGTTTTGCAGAGACCGGGACCCTTCGGGGCCCGGGGCCCGTTCTGCGCTTCACGCCGACCCCGGGTCCCGCTTTGAATTTTGAAGTTCAAAATCACGGATATTTTGGTAGTGATTTTTTCCCCCCCTGATTGCTGCGTCCTCACGTGACCCTACGAATAGCCCCTTGCCATGGGGGCCCCGCCTGCCCCAGCCGTGGGAGAGTAGTGGCGTTACACGTGAGGTACAGCTGGGGAAACTGAGGCACTGATGGGGCATTGGCAGGGACGCGTTGCCGTCGTTCATCTCCTCCTCCTCGGCTGTTCTCTGTGTTAACCTGCGTCTCTTCTCTTTCTGTCTGTCTCTGGGGCGTCTCCCCCTCCCCGCTCCGTACCCCCCGGGGCAGGTGGCCTGCCAGAGCGCAGAGAGCCAGGAGCAAGTAGAGACGATTCTCTCTGAGAACGATGCCCTGAGAACCAATCTAGCGGCGCTCGAGCAGGTACCCGCTGGGACACGCTTGGGCAGGAGGCGCTCTCCCCCGGCAGTCCGGGCTGGGCATTGGGGGGCAGGGTGGGGGGCTCGGCAGGAGGCGCTCTCCCCCGGCAGTCAGGGCTGGGCGTTGGGGGGCAGGGTGGGGGGCTCGGCGGGAGTCTCAAGCTCTGCCTCCCCCACCCCCCAGAAGCGGCTGCGTCTCGGCGCCAGGGAGCCGTCCCCGGGCAGCGTTCTAGGCAGCTGTTCCCCACCCCAGAGACAGCTGCATCTCCACACTGGGCAGCCCCCGCCCATTGCGAGTCACCTCCCGGGTTCTCCTACTTGCTGGATTCCTTCCTCTGTCGGCGCCTGGCCCGGGAAATCCGCTTTGCTCCTTGCGTCTGGAGTCCGTGTCCGTGTCCCCTCTGGGCTCTTCTCTGCCCTGATCCCCCTGGGTGGAGGGGGGCAGTCCTGTCCCCCCCCTCCCCCGTGCTCCGCCCTCCCCTGATCCCAGCTATTGGGGACCCCTCGCTTGGGGTCTGGGCGTCCCTGAGGGCCGGGTCCCAGCCCTGTCCTGGGAGATACCGGGAAAGCGCCGCGGGGAGGGGGTCTGGTGGCGGGGAGTTCCCCAGGCCGAGCGTCTCTCCGCTGTTCAGATCCAGACGTCGAAGACCCAGGAGCTGAACTTGCTGCGGGAGCAGAGCGCGGCGCTCGGCCTGGAGCTGCAGCAGAAGCAGAGCGAGAAGGAGGCGCTGGCCGGGCAGCGGGACGACCTCAGCACCCAGCTCCAGGTGCGGGGGACAGGACGGGACGCGACGCCCGTGGGGCCTGCAGGGCCCTGGGCTGCCCCCGGCGGGCGCTGGCTTGGGTTATTAATGGGGCCATGTGGAAGGGCCGGGCCGCTGGTTTAATGCCCACGGGAGGCTGCGCTCTGCGTTCACCTGTGGAACTCCTCGCCTCGGGGCGGCCGGCTGCCCAGAGCAGCAGCTGGAGGCCAGGCCCGGCGATTAGCCTGGCACCTCTGTCAGCCGGGGTCTTCCCAGAATCGCCGGCTTTGGTCGCTGGCCCCCCGGCTGAGCTGTGGGGGCAGTGGATTTATCGGGGCCTGGTGTGTTTCCCCCCCCAGGAATCCATCCGAGCCAACAGCCGCCTCCTGGAGCAACTGCAGGAGCTGGGCCAGGAGAAGGAGAAGCTGGTTGTGGAGCTGGAAGAGGCCAGGAAGGTGAGGGATGGGGCGGGGGCTCTGGCTGTGGGGAATGGGGTGGGGCGGGGGCTCTGGCTGTGGGGAATGGGGTGGGGGCTTGGCAGGGTCAGGTCCTGTGGGGGCCAGTCTCGGGGGAGGGCTCTGGCCACGGGGCTCAGCTGGGGGGCCAATCTTGGGGGGACACTCTGCCCGTGGGGCTCGGCGGGGGCACCGGGGGTCCAGTCTCTGGGGCACTGGCCGTGGGGCTCAGCAGGGGCACTGGGGGGCTAGCCCCAGGCGGGAGCCATTGGCCAGGGAGCTCAGCGGGGGCACTGGGGGGCCAGTCTCCGGGGGGGGCACTGGCCGGGGGCTCGGCGGGGGCACTGGGGGGCTAGCCCCAGGGGGGGCCATTGGCCGGGGAGCTCAGCGGAGGCACTGGGGGGCCAGTCTCCGGGGAGGGGCACTGGCCGGGGGCTCAGCGGGCTCTCCCCGCAGAGCGCAGACAAGCGGAAGTCCCTGCTGGACGCCATGGCGGTAGAGACGCAGCAGGAGAAGGGGCGGCACCAGGAGGCCCTGGCGGCGCTGCGGGTGCAGCAGGACAAGGAGGTGCTGGGCGTCCGGGCGCACTACGAGCGGGAGCTGCGCCAGCTGCACGAGGAGAAGAAACGCCACGAGGAGGAACTGCGGGGGCAGCTCAAGGAGGAGAAGGTGCTTGGGCGTGGGGGGGTAGGGAGCCGGGGCAGGGGACCTCTGGGGGCCAGAGTTTTTACACACAGCTGCTCTGCCCCAGAGGTGGCTGCATCTCCACGCCGGGCGAGTCATTCCCATGCGGCGTTATGTGCGGCTGTTCCCCAGCTGCCCCACCCCAGAGCTGGCTGCATTTCAGCCCCGTGGGCTCTGCCCCAGCTGGGTGGGGTCACGCCTGTCTGGGGGGCGGGGCGGTGATGGTGCCTCTCTCCCCACGCCTAGGCCCGGAGCCGGGAGCTGGAGAGTTCGCAGCAGACGGTGGAGGAGCTGCGCCTGCAAATCCAGTCCATGGATGGGGCCAAAGGCTGGTTCGAGCGGCGGCTCAAGGAAGCGGAGGTGGGAGAGGCCCCAGGTCCCATTCCTGTCCCTGCCCTGGGGCCGGGAGGGAGCCGGCGCCCCCTGGAGGGATCCCGCCCGGTCCCACCCCCCCGTCCCCACCCCGTCTCGCGCCCGCCCTGTCCCCGGCCGGTCTCACTCCAGGCTTCTCTCGTGTTGCAGGAGCTGATTGAAAAGCACCAACAGAACCACGAAGAGGCGCTTCGAGTGTGCAAGGAGCAGCACGCGGCCGAGCTGAAGGTACGACTGGCTGGGGCCTTTCCCCCGAGGGGGGTGCGGGTCACGCCACGGGGGGACCCCGGGTGGGGTGGTACACAGCCGG